GTCGCCAAGCTGTCGCGATCTAAAAAAAAAATCGGGTTTTCTGATCTTAGGCTAATGGATTACTAGATCAATTAAATTAACTAACCTAGCTCGAGTTCTCCCAAACTCTACCAAATCGCAACTTAGGTCCAATTGTGAGCATGCAAATATTTTCAATGGGAGTCGCCACTAATCATTTAAGGTAGGTTGATTAGAAACCTAAATAAAATAGCGGGAGTACTATTTTATTTCTGCGAACGAGAAATTATGGATTCGGAGACTTGGTTACGCTAGATTCCCTAACGCCCTTTCGGTACCAATTTCAAGAAAAATACTTAATTTGACAATTTTGATAAATCCTGACTTAGAGTTCAAAGGTGCAGAAATTTTCTTTTTTTGATTTTTTTTATTTATTTAAAGGAAAGCTAACCTATATGTAATGGCATGCAAAAAATTGACATGCGATTAATGCAACCTAACATGCAAACTATATGTCATGCGACGACGTGACCTATTTCTAATGACGGGCATATTATTTTTTTTGTATTTTTTTAATGAAATTCGGAATTAAAAATGCCAATTATCTAAACATGCAATTTCAAACTAAAGAAATTAACCTATTCTAGAGTAATATTTTTAGTATTTTTTTATCGAAATTCGAAATTAAAATCCAGTAAAAAAAATATAACCGCTAAATCTTTCGAATTAAGTTTCGATCCGAAGCCTGACAGATCGATCCTAAAATTCGAAATACCCGCTATGGAAATAACTCTATCTAAAGCCTGATAGATAAATTTATTTCCACGTGTGCGGTTGCGGATTAGGAAATTTTCCTAATCGATCACATCTTGAAAAAATTTAGATATCTTAAATATCTTGGATATATTCAAAAGATTTTGAAAATTCTAAATTCTATCCAAATTTGAAAAGTAATAGATATCCAAGATTTCAAAAAAATGAAATAAAAACCTAATTGGAATAATGCTTATTATCCAAATATGCAAAATTAGATATCAATAAGCACAAATTAGACAACCAAATATTCGAATCAAATCGGGATATGATAATTACCTGATTTGCAGATTTCTTTCCTAATTTGAATCTGCAGCGGATCGGCGGTGCGTCGGGAGCGGCGGCGCGACTTCGGGAACAGTGGCGGCTAGCGACGGTGACACGACGGGAACGGCGGCGCGGCGGGCGTCTCCGGGTAGCGGCCAATAGGCGGGGACGGGCGGCTTTCCGGCAGTGGCTCGCAATTCTCGACCTTGGCTAGCTTGCGACAGTTCGAAGTGTGGAAGTTCTCGGCCACTCAGTCTGGCCGCCCTTCGGTCGTGACTTGCAACGAAGACAAGATGCAAATATCTTCTGAGTGTGTCGCTCTTTTGTTTCAAGCTCTCACCATACGAATAGCTTGAATCTGGGCATCTCTGCTCCAAGCTTGACTTTTGCTTTGACTAAGCCAATAAACAATCCAATTGTCACTGCTTGCTATTTCCTCAATCGTGGCTAAGTGGTGTGTCAGATCATGGTCTCCTGTGGTAGCGTCGCTCACGGGTTGGAAGCTATAGATGATGCTGGACTGAGGGTTGGAGATTTCGCCTGGACTGTCGCTGGGACTCCGATTGTGCGGCTGTGCTGGTCGTTGGGAAAGAAATCAGCCGCGGCGGTGTATTATGGAGCATCAACAACGATGGTCGACAAATAACGGCAACGGCGTCATCGTGGGGGGTCGATTCGCAGTTTGGGCCGTCGTCGCGTCGTAGTATTCCGGTCTAAGGGGCAAGCGGGTCGTGCGAAGCTTCGCAGGCAGCGGCGTTGGGCGCAGCGATGGTATGGCGGCGTCGCGAAACAGCAGCAGCAGCTATCTGTGCGGTGCGGTCGCGAGGCGGCGCGACTGTGAGGCGAGCGCATGCGCGACCGACTCTCTCTTTCTCCTTGCTCTAGTATGTCTCTCTAAAAATCCGTTCTGAAAAATTATGAGAGCCCCCTCCCCAGATTATGAGACATAAACATATATTTATAGTGTAAACCTAGGTCAATTAGCCGGGCTTTCTAGTCCTAATGGGGTTAGGTTTAGGCTTTAATTTAATTCTAAGTGGGCTGAATTAATTTGGGCTTTTCTTTAATTAAGCATAATGGGCTAATTTAAGCTCAAATTAAGACAACCAAGCCCTTTTGCGTGTGATTTTCGGCCCATGCTTTCCGAGTGAGCTGAGTCTCGTTCGGTGCCCGAGCTCGATTTATGTGATGAATTTTAAGCTCGCTTACCACCGCCGATCCGATGCGAAATGCAGTTAATCTATATGAACCTAAACTTTATGCTATGCGATTTGTAATATTTTTATTCAGGGGTTAAAATTTAATCCCTAATTTTCTATGCAATTAACCACTAAATGATGCGCCGAAATTTAGGTGTCAACAATCACCCAATTTGCTTTTTTCTTCTTTTTTTCTATTTTGGTTTGGTGAGCACTTTTAATGATGACTTTTTTTTTCAAAATTTGGAATCCTAAAGGAGGCTTTTTTAAGCCTAAAAAAACTATTAAAATTGACATATGGATAGATTGTTTGTGCTAAAAGCCAAAGTGGGTCGACCCCATTTGGAGAAAAACAAGAACCATTTACTATTTTTCTTATGGCTTTTCCTCTATAATTTAATAGAGCCTTAAATTTCAATTTTTTTTAAAATAAAAGATATATAAGTTGACTGGTCAAAATTAGAACACCTTTATTGAAGGATATCAAGTGCTTTAGGGTCGCAATATTTGGAGAAAATTTACAACTGAATAATTAATCATTCTAAACAAATAAGAAATTAGAGTTTCATTCAAATTCCCCACCCGCCTTTTTTATAAATAATAAAAAAAAAGGCGGTCCATGTAGTGTGCTGGGAGCACGGAGCCCTTGAGTTGTATACTGTCGAGTCGAGAAAGTATTCAGTAGTTCGTAACCACCACGTCATCAGCCTACGTTGCTCCACTTGAAATATGACAAGTGTTTTCTGGCCCAGAATAAAAAAATTAAAATCGAAAACCATTATTCTCTCTCCTCCGTGCATTTGCGGAAAGGACTTAGCCAAGCAACCTCGCATTCATTGCCCGATCTCTCTCTCCCTCTCTCTCTATCTCCTCCTTGTAACAATTGAATTCACTTGAATGGCTTTCCTTTCACACGTTTGAGCTCTCTTTTACAAGAGGCTTCCGTCCTCCTCCTCCTTCGCGTTTGTCCCCGTTGCCCTTCCGGCTCTGGCTCTGACTCCCAGAAACCGCCAACTAGCTCGGGTGCGTTGCCAGCAATTTTGAAGCGGAAGAGGCTGCGAGGCTGGTTATGCCGGTGGCGGGGCTGAGTTTGAGGGTTCTGGCAAAAAGGCTTCCAAATTTGTTACATAGAGGGAGATAGAGATCAAGGTTGCTCGTCTCGGTCCTTTCCGTAGGTGCACGAGAGGGGAGAGAAAAGATGGCTTTCAATCTTAATTTTTTTTTATTCCATACCAGAAGGACACATGTCATATTTTGGGTGGAGCTGCATAGGCTCGGTCACGCCACGTAAGCTAATGACGCGATAGTTACCAATCACTAAATATTTGAATATTTTCTTAATTAAGTCATTTCGTTTTTATCGTAATTCAATAAACGATTAAAAAAACACCGCATTATAAAATATCGCAAATTACAAATTATGTTACCCGAAAAAAAAAAAAAAGACATTCCCCAATAGTCAATATTGGAATGTAACGAAAAATAATAATTAATTGGGAAAAAACCACAAAAAACCCCAAACTTTGCCATTCACGTGACACATTTTCTAACTTTTATTGACACAAAAACCCGACTTTGCTTTTGTGACACATTTACCCTAATGTATTTAGTCAATGGGCATTTTCGTCTTTTTGCTTTTTCTTTTTTTTTTTTTTTCCTTTCCGCAGGGCGCCCATCGCCGGATCCGGCGAGGGGGCCCTCGCGGCTGCCGAGCGAGGCGGCCTCGCCCGACTCAGCGAGGGTGGCCCTCGCCGGCGTCGGCGAGGTTCGCCCTCGCCGGCGGTCGGCGAGGCTCCCCTCGCCGGGCGAGCGAGGCGGCCCTCGCCCGATCCGGCGAGGTCGACCCTCGCCGGCGTAGGGCGGCCCTCGCCAAATCGGGCGAGGGCGACCCTCGCGCGTCGAGCGAGGGTCGCCCTCGCCCGATCCGGCGAGGGCCGCCTCGCCGGCACGGCGAGGGCCGCCCTCGCTCGCCCGGCGAGGGCGAACCTCGCCGACGCCGGCGAGGGCCGCCCTCGCTCGCCCAAGCGAGGGCGAATCTCGACGCCGGCGAGGGCCCCCTCACGGATCCGGCGATAGGCGCCCTCACGGAAGGCAAAAAAAAAAAAAAAAAAAAAAGCAAAAAGACGAAAATGGCCATGACTAAATACATTGGGGTAAATGTGTCACAAAAAGCAAAATTCGGGGTTTTTGGTGTCACAAAAAAAAGTTCGGGGTAAATGTGTCACATATGGCAAAGTTTGGGGTTTTTGGTGGTTTTTTCCCTAATTAATTTATGATCGGTGACAGCATCGATGTGGTGCCTTAATAATGCCTGTAGCCAAAGTACATAGATCAAAATCAAATTTTTAAGGTAAAGATTCGTCCGGGCACGGTGGACGCGCCGTCGAAACGAAAGATTGAAGGTGGTTTCAATCTCATTTTTGGCATTGCCTCTTTCGTTCGGGTACAGTCTTGATTCTAATCTTGTTCCATCTTCTTGCCCATATGCAACCCATTCATCTCTGCAGTTCAAGTGTTTGCGATAATGCCCAAGTGAAACTGCTGGTTCCGGAGACTCGTGTCGCGATCGGCAGCTGCTTCTTGGGTGTCTTTTTTTAGGTGGGGTGATTTGATTTTTGACGATGATGCTTCCCTGATGTCGTGGGAAATTTACGGTTCTGTGTGGGTCTGACTCTGATCAGTACAGAGTTGGCTACTTGGAGGGCTGTCGCAACCTGCTGTCTGCTTCTTTTACCATCAAACTCCAGCTCAAAGCTGAGAAAGAAGGGAAGTAAAGAGACATCTTCGTATGCATAGCGTGATTGCTAGACGTTGGTTTTGCACTGGGGCTCCACGGCCTTGGCTCTTCGTCGGCTTGGGCAATCCCGGAGATAAGTACAGAGGAACCAGGCACAATGTACATAGCTGAACCCAGTCACTGTGCACTACAATATGTTTTCTTTCATTTTCTGTTTTTTTATGTTGATTTTTTCCTGGAATCCCTAGTTCCAGAACCGTTAGTTCTGTGTTTGGGTTTTGATCAAGCAGGTAGGGTTCGAAATGATCGATGCTTTTGCCGAATCGCAAGGGATTCCGATGAGCACGGTCCACTGCAAAGCTATGTTCGGGCAAGGCAGGTGCCCGGTGATCATCTTTTTGGCTCTGTTCTGTGAGGATTGTATGGCTTGCGTTTAATTTGGTGGATGGAATATTGATGCAGGTTTTGTTGATGATGTCCCTGTGTTCCTCGCAAAGCCTCAGACTTACATGAATCTGAGCGGCGAATCGGTAAGCCGGTCTTGATGGTTTTTTTCCCTACTTGGAATCCTTATTAAGCTGAATTGCGAACTGATTTTCCTGCTCTTTGTAAGATGGACCGGCTTAAGTGAGAGATGGTTAAGTCATGGGAGAATACCGGGGTTCTAAAAGTTGTAGAAGTAGAATCAAACAGAATGAAATCCCTTACATGAAGTATTCTGTTTTGTATGGGGATTGCGTAAATTTTAGTGAGGACTTGTACATCATAAATGATGGTCGAAATGAAGATTATGTTGACACTAAGAACAAATGGTATCATGGGGAGTTTGCATTCCTCTTGAGGTTTTCAAATTCTGTTGATTGATGTTACTTTGTGCTGATGAATGGACTTGTTAGCTGTCCAACTTCAATGCCTGCTGGTCATTGTATTACAAGTCGGTCGGAAAATCGAAGTGTTGGTTTTCTAAGTCACTTCACATGGAGAAATAAAAGAGGGAAGTTTAAAGAACTAATGTTGTTATTAGTGGGACTTTTATTGATGGTAAAACTTTTTCAAAAATGTTTCTGAGTAAGTTTATCTTTGCTCAAATCTTGGCCATGTGGACGAAATCTATCCAGGGTCATTTTATTCCTTGTCATTTGAGCAGATAGATTATCTCTTTTTTTTATAAGGCTTCTGGATTCTATCTTTCATGGTTTTCTACTGTTTACTTGTACAACATAGCAAAAATCTTGGTCTCTGAAGTGTATCAGTTAGTAGGCTCTGAATAACCATTGCATTTCATGCCAAAGTCTTCGAGATCTGTTTTTTCTGTTGAAAAAAACTTATGACATGCTTTGATGAAATCATGCATGAATGATAAAAGTTAAATTTGGCTCCTAGTACAATTTTATGTTAGACATTTTTACCATTGAAGCTTTCTGGAGGTGCATGATATGGAAGGTTGAATGTTTATAATGGCATTATTGGATGGCAATTGTGGCAAGTAGTGCTCATCCAGACCCAGTAGTAATGCAGCATGTGTTTGCTTCGTTTCATTGCAGGCAGGACCTCTAGCTGCTTATTATAAGCTGCCTCTTAATCGGGTGCTTGTGGTAATTTGCTCTTCCATATCGATGTTTTGTCTATTGACTTACATTGAATGAGTTTCTTTCTGTGTAACAATTGGTCATCTTTATTCAGTTTCATGATGACATGGACTTGCCATGTGGGGTGCTTCGGCTTCAACTTAAAGGTGGTCATGGAAGTCACAATGGGTAAGGACTAGAGATTACATTAGATAGCCATCTTTAGTTGCTGTTCAGTACGTCTTTGTTGTGCTAAATACATTGGATAGCCTGCAGAGCACACCTTTCGTGCATGCTTACAGCTAGTTTTTCATGTTCAAGTTATGACAGTGTCATGAGACCTTGAATTATACTGTCGTTCTGTCATTAGTGTAGCTTCTCTTGACTGACCAACTATTCTCTAGATTCCTGGAGGATGAATACTGTGCAACTTAGCACTCTCAAACGACAGTGTTCTTATACCGGGGGTTTTTTTGGGAATAAAAACTAAATATGGGACGTGGTGGCTACAGAGAGGGATATCTTAACCCACATGTACAGAATGGTTGTCTATTACTCAGTAGTTGCTGGGAACTTCTAAGGTATGTACAAGAGTTTCTAGAATGGAATGACTTGTGCAGAAGCATTACACCCAGGTTCTAGGGATATATTGGAAACATTCATAGTTGGACTAAAGTAGATTGGGCATGAGAGAAGAAATATACATATCTAGTTGGTTTGGATGCCAAGCATAGAGTGCTAGTTTGACTTGGAGGCTCCAGGAGATGGGGGCAAGCAACAAGCAACATACTATCGGAAACTCTTTATTGCAAATTTTGCCTACTCACATGAATGGACACACGGGTGTATCAACGAGAGGGCCAAGTATGGGATCTTTCCACTTAGCATTCTTGGTGAAGCAAAATGGATAGACGGTTGGTTAGGTTCCCTCACATCATAAGGCCACTGGCACTGACATATTATCTAAGTGTCATAAGGAAATGAGTCAACATCACGCTTGCAAATGGCAAAAAGAAACAAAAAACACTCAAGCCCACAAGAAAAGGTCAGTGTGTATGGTGGCCTTTTCCATACGAGCCCAACTTTGATCCCAACAAGTCAAAAGTATCTCTAAAACATCCTTAAATTGGGAATGACCCGAGATCCTGCGACCAATACCGACTCAATGCTGCATGCAACGCACGTGAGAATCTCCCTATCACAAGTTCTTTGCTAATAAATCGGATAAACAGTCATGAACTAAATAAATGTAGGATAAATTTAAAAAAAAAGGCATGTTCGCGAAGCCTGGTTTACACCTCTACAATGTAGAAATGAATAAAATCTAATGAGACATAAATTGGTTTCCTGGTGTTCTGGAAAGTTTCGGTTGTCTTGTTGGTGCAATTTCGACTGCCTCATATGACCTGCAATTCTGAAGGACTAAAACCAACTGCTTTGACTTGTGAGGTTACTAATGGGATTCCTAGTAGCTTCATGCACTTCTGGTTACTGAAGCACTGCTCTGTCTCTCTCCCTCTCTCTCTCTCTCTGCATTAGGCTGAAGAGCGTAATATATCATTTTCGTGGGAACAGAGAATTTGCTCGGCTGAGAATTGGTAAGTTTCTGGCACTGTTTAGTTTACCCACCTCTTTCATGAAGTAAATCATTTACGTCTCTGTGCACGTGGATGTGTGTAGGTATTGGCAGGCCTCCTGGGCAGATGGATCCCAAAGCATTCTTGCTTCAAAAATTCAATAGGACAGCGAGGGAGCGGGTAAGCATTTAATTGCTTACTAGTCATATCCTAAGCATCCTAATCCATTTTAAAGAACATTAGGTACAGGACAAAAGAAAACATGATCCAGCTATGAAACATGTTAGATAAACAAAAGCATTGCTATCCAGTGATATTAAATGATAATAATTGATGCTTCTCTTACTGTGAAGTTTTGACAGGTTTTGATAATGCTTCCATATGTTCCTTTTCTTATACAAATCTATTTTTCAGTAGTATGTATAATCCTACCTTATTTCCATAATAGTCCATGACAATGCCCCCGATTTCAAAACTATATCAAACAAATAATAGGCGCATTAATCTTTCTTTAGGTTGTGTTGCCATATCTTCAACCAACATGCAACATTACTCAGTGATATTGATGATATGATCTCCTATGGCTTTGACAAACTAGATTGACGTCGCTTTGCAAGAGGGAGTTGATACTCTGAAGCTTGTCCTGTCCAAAGGCTTGACAGAGAGTGCGAGATGCTTCAACAGGGAACAAAAGTACAAGCATATAAGATTGCAAAACCTGCCTACATAAAAAAAAATAGGTATCTACTGTAGCTTAGACGAAATTTCTTTTTTAAACTTTTCTCTTGGTCTGGCTTCTATATCTTTCTTCAACAGTGTGTGAGTGGCTCATGTCTGCTTTTGGCTGATATCATGGGGAGCATATTCATTTTCCGAAGAAGAATGTGAAAATGCTGTATTGCCATCCTTTCCATAATGTTTGATACTGACACAAGACATGCTTAGCTGACTAGCAGCTTAAAGATGAAGTTGCTTGAGTAAGTATACATGGATGACTATCATTTGTAAGAATTATTTTACTGATTAAGCCTAGTTAGTCTTTCAAGCTTTGGTGCTTAATAGAGAAAACTATGGGAGCCTTCAGATAGAATAATTTCATTCTCCTTGTCGACTCTACTTCTCGTCATCCAAAGCGAGAGAAATTGGTAATTTACGGTAGGTTTAGCAGAGAGACTTTCAGGAAAGGCAATGTAATGCTTCTTAAGCTACTGTTGTTTGGAGTGGTTTTTCACCTTTCCTAATGATTCCCAGAGTAGATTGATAGTGCATCATTGAGAATGACACAAAATTGGATCGGACACGTGAGATATGATCCCTAATTAAAACGAACTCAATTATAATAAGACTAGCATGATGCAATATGCTGATGCTATTCCCATATTGTGCCAAGTTGGCTGTCTTTAGTCTGCTTTTCTGGATCGGATAACAAAGGACGGGATAAAGAGGAATCTATTGAATCACATATATCTTATCTCTAGTTTGGAAGATCCCCACGAATAGAATCGGATATTCTCAATCGGTAACTTTGAAAAAAGAGCGTTCCTACACCTCCTCCTAAGACAGCCGGATTGGTCTAAATGTGGGAGTGGATGGCGGGGTTATAATTACATCGAAGATCTGGACTAACACCAACACTTGGGTCGATACGATTTCGGCTCAAGTTCTCGGGACGTCAATCAGTGTCAACTAGCTCATTGGATATTCTGCTAACAAGTGTATCAGTCATCTCCTTGTGGTTTACTTGGTCTTGTTTCTTCATGGAATAATAGATTATGAAGCATTGTAGAGATTCTGACGTTTGCCGTGATTTCAAATCTAGATGATAAAGTGATTCAACTTAGTCCTAGGTTACTATAGCCTGCTTTTAACCTATTTGATTGATGATCTTGATTGATTGGTTTAAGGATGATTGGTAGTTTTTCCATGTATACTCAAGTGGCCAATGATTCAGAACTCAGTGCTGGCCAGGCAACCAAGTGGAATTGGAATCTGATCTCAAGGTCCACTCATCGTGGTACCGCCGAACACAAGTGTCTCTTGGGTCACGATTGCATGCTTGTGGAGTGTACAGTTCAAAGTAATTGTCACTAAGGATGATTCTTTTTAGTATTATAAACTTTGAGTTGATATCTTTTGGCAGACTATTACGAGAGATGGCCAAATAAATTAGCTATTTCAACCAAGTCTTTACGCGTTTCGTGAGGTTAATTTTCTTCGTGTCAAAAGAACTTTTCCATTATCGATAGATGTAATAAAAAATTCATGAACCTTTCGTATGGATCTAAAAATAATTGGGCATTATGATCGATTTCAAAGGCTACCAATGTTCTCCACTAATCAAAACCACGGTCTATTTGGCCTCTTGTCAAGTGCCAAAATAGATGCATTTCTTAATCATAACGAAAATTACCCAACAAGTAATAAACTATTTTATAGATTTCAATTTGGTCTCGAACTTTTCAATTTGACTAATGTAGTTATGAACATTTTTCATCCGGCACTTTAGGTTGAAAATAGCCGACGTGGCGGTCTAGTCAGTGTAGTAGCACGATTGATGATGGACATTGAAGAAATTAATCGAAACGACATCTTTTTGTAATTTTTTAAAAAGAATTCTGAATTTTATTTTTTTAAGTTTTCTTTTCCTTCTTTTGTCCATACCATTGTTCATTATGTCTTCATCTCTTTCCACTTCATCACCAAAAAGACATTACGTTCATATGCCGCCCCACGCCAATGGTGGGGGTGGCATAAAAAGACGATGAACAGTGAGGAAAGGAAAAAAAATCAGAATAGTAAAAAGTTTGAAAGAGAAAGAAGAAGGAGACCATGTACAATAAAAAAAGAAAAAAAAAAGGAAGTAAAACAATTTATAAAATTTCTCAAAACGATGTTTTTTTTAGTGAAGTTGTACATGTTAAGGTAGGACGGCCGGCCCTAACTAGACTACTACATTAGTGATTTTCGGTTTAAATTGATCAAATGGATTACATAGAATTCAAAAGATTTAGGATTACATTGGTCAAATTGAAAAATTTAGCATTGAATTGATATCCCTACAATAAATTTATGATTTTTTGGATAAGCTTCCCTAATTGTGTATTGCCAGAAAGCTATAACTTTTTCTCCTTTATAATTACTGTTCCTTTTGTTTTAAGCAATAAGACCACGTAAGTGTGTAAGTATGACTATCTACGCAATTTGGACATCGATTCTCGATTAGACGGCTTGCTTAAACCGCTCTAAGCAAAATCATGGCATCATTAATTTGCTAATTCGGCCAAATATTTGGATAGGGAAATTGTCGGGATCGGCCAAAATATTCGCATGTTTTTCCATAGGAGCCGAGAAATCGAGGCACTAGACTCTTGGCGACACAGCCAACGGAAGAAAAAAACTGCCTCGATTCGATGAGATTTAGTCGGATGCTTTATAAGTCCGTTCTGGCAATGAACCTCATCAATGTTTGCATAGTTGCGTGCAACATACGCTTGAAATTATGCTATATTTACTTTATTGTATGTAAATTCCATCATTGCTTTGAATTCATCATCTGGTAGGGGTAAGCAAAAGGAACCGTCCAGATTAAGAATCGCCTGCACAGGACCAGCCGGTTCTGGGTGGTTCCTAAGGGCACTAGTCCGATTTCCAGTTCTCAGTTTCATGATTTTGGTTCAGTTCCCAGTTCCGAGTGTGGAACCACCCACTCAGATCGGGCTGATTTTTTTTCAATTTGTTAATTTTTTTATTTCTTAAAAATCTGTATAAAAACCCTAATCTATCTCCCATTTCACAAAAGAAAGCCCTTCAAGACTAGAGCAACTATGTTTATTTAGGGAAACTGCCACAAAAAATCCCAAATTATGTCACTTGTGACAAAATTTATCCTGAAATTTTTTTTGTGACACGAAAAATCCCAAACTATGCCACTTGTAACACATTTACCCCACAATACTTTGGCCTACGGGCATTTTCGTCTTTTTCCTTTTTCTGTTTTTTTTTTTCCTTTCTTCTCTCTTCCCTTCACCGGCCATGGCGTAGGAAAGCCGATGAGGGCGGCCCTCGCCGGCGTCGGGCAAGAGTCGCCATCGCCTGGGCGGGCGAGGGTTACCCTCGCTTGGCCCTCGCCCGCCCAGGCGAGAGCGGCTCTCGTTTGACGCTGATGAGGGCAGCCCTCACCTGGCCCTCACCCGCCCAAGCGAGGGTGACTCTCGCCCAACCCCAACGCCGGCGAGGGCCGCCCTCGCCGACTTCCCTCCTCCATGGCCGACGGAGGGAAGAGAGAAGAAAGGAAAAAAAATGAAAAAAAAAATAGAAAAAGGAAAAAGACGAAAATGCCCTTGGGCCTAAGTATTATGGGGTAGATATGTCACAAGTGGCATAGTTTGGGATTTTTCGTGTCACAAAAAAAAGTTTAGGGTAAATTTGTCACAAGTGGCATAGTTTGGAATTTTTGGTGATATTTTCTTGTTTATTTATACACTTGAGTAAAATGATAATAACAAATCAAGACACAACAGTAGTTGCTCACTCCAACCAAATTTGACCGCAAATTGGAATAATCTTTGCATGTAGAAACGCATTGATTATTAAGAACATCCTCAATTTCATCTTGAATATTAATGATAATTAAAAACAAACTGAATAGGCTACCGACTCTATTGGCCCATCTAGGAACCGGACCGCACCGGTCGGTCTAGTCCTATTCCTGGTTCTCACTGGTTTGGTATAGTTCTTGATTTCCGAAATTGAAAACCGATTCTTCCGTTCCGATTCCTGATTCTTAGTCGGGAACCGAACCGCTCAGAACCCGATCACCCTTATCATCTACCTACCCAAAAAGGGTAACTTCGGATCCTTCTCTTGAGCGCTTTCAAATCGTCCCATCTGAAGATCTTTTTGACCCTTCTCGGTACCATCAATCTCCCAACACGACATGTCCTCCGACACTCCCATCGTTGCAAAAAGAAAAGAGCCAAATGATCAGACCTTAAGGTACGAGCACTAGAGTCCATACCCAAAAGATAAATTAGGAAATGACATACAAGCAATGATTGAGGCCACGGATTATACTAATTAATGAGATAAACTCTAGAGGCTTCTCCAACGCAAAAGTACCTGCAAATTGATTTGAGTCGAGACAAGAAGAGAGTGGCTATTTCAAAGATCCCATGATGGTTTGGCAGGATCGTCTTGAATCACAATCACACAGCTTTCTAATCCTTTAAACAAATGCGGGTTGACAATTGGTTTGTATTGCTTTCCGCTATCAGCTTCCATGCCTGACCACACGATTTTGTAGTCCGAAATGTTTGGAAATTGATTGGATCGATCCAAATCCCACAAGTCGCGATGACCCAACTAGTCTTGTCGCTAGGGATTTACTAAAATGCACCATAAATCGCATTTTTTTATATGATTAAAATGAAGAAGAGACATCGACGATAGCATAAGTAACTTCATCAACATAAATTCACGTATGGAATGTGAATTGAGCCAAGCGCTTGCATATTCTGGCATATGGTTTCGATATCAGCGTGTCAAATTTCTTTTGGCAAAATGAAGGAAAAAAAATAAAAAGGCAAAGTGACTTTATGTGTTATGTAGTCGTTGACATAAAAAAAATGACCAACTTTTCTTTGTTATTGAATAATAACAGATATAGTCGATGAGAACAGAGTTTGGTGAAAATAATAGTCAATAAATTGAATAATCGACAATTTGGAGGAATTCAACAACTCGTCGGTAAAATGATAAGACATCATAGGTTATGGACAAAAACCTTCGCCAGTCGACGAGGTCATCGGCACCGTTATGTAACTGCCAAGTAGTGGATTAATCGTTGCCAGAAATAGGAGATTGTGGATATAGCTTAACTTTTTGTAACCGCAAATAAGATTAGGATATTATGTGTTTGTTCAAATCCAATAGCCGCTCGTAGGTAACCATCCATCGCGGATTATAAACACCAACATTGCATTCTTTTAAAATTCCCAATCACCTGTAAAATTCGAAACTCATCTTTACTTTCCCGCAATCTATC